GTGTTCGAAATTGGCTCGTGAACAGTGTGTTCGTGTTCGGCTCGATTTAAATATTTGTGTTCGTGCTCGGCTCTTGTTCGGCTCGAAATTGGCTCGTTAATCTAAAATTGAGAAAAATAGATGTAATGTGTGGGATTCGAACCTGGATCAAATCTATACAAAAGAAGACACTAACCACATTGCTACATGAGGCATTATGATTTAAATTTAGACATAAATAATATATGTAATATATTGTTATATAAAAAATTATATATATATATTTTTTATCGAGCCATTTCGAGCCGAACATGAGCGAACAAACTGTTGTTCGTGGTCCGCTCCCTTTCCCTTTTCGGGCATTTCGACTCGTTAGGCTTGACGAACGCGCCGAACACGCGCTGCTTAACGAGCCGAACACGAGCTGTTCACGAACAAGAGCCAAATTGACAGCCCTAAGTACAAAGGTCTCTGAAACTCTGTCGGTATGTCTCCGCTCCTATCCGACTAACCGTCATCTTTCTCTTCATTCTTTCCACCCCCTTTAGCGCGCTTCAGCTTCTATCCTGCATTTCCAGCATTAGAGTTGTCATTTTTGTTGTTTGACCGCCAAACGGCCCCCGAAGGATCCGGCATAAGGCATTGCCTTGTCAGTCTCTTCCTCTTCGTGTTTCTTTTCCCTGCTTTCCCATTCAACGATTTGCTTGTTTATAGACCGGCTATCAAAGTTAACATAGTGTCTTTCGTTAATAACAGCCAAATGAGGTGCAGGAAGGTTATGAAAAGCATGTTTACAGGGAATTTCAATTGACTGAGCTGAATAGAAGCAATAAAGAGAAGAAGAGGAAACGGAGGGACTCAGGTAGCATACCACCGCCTTTCAGTTTGGTCCAAAAAAAAAAAAAAAATTGTTGTCTTTGTAATCATTAGCTTTCTTTTTCTTATAATTTTACTTGTTTTTAGTAGTTGTGGAGGGGTTCAATGTTTTCAAAAGCTCTAAGTCTCTCAAAACCAGTGATGCAAGATCAAATTTGGAAGATGATTCTGTACTACATAGAAAGGAAGTAGAGAAGCAGATAGAGGTTTGTTTATTCCATGTTTTTTGTCTCCAGTCCGTTGTACTTGTCAAAGGAGTAATTATTTGTCCGACAAGAGAATTAGCTGCACAAACTACTAGGGAGTGTAAAAAGGTTGCTAATGGTAGAAAGTTTCACATCAAACTTATGACTATGGAGTTGTCCCGATGTGGCGATTTTGCAAAAATACCATGTGATATTCTTATATCAACTCCACTTCGTGTTGATTATGCTGTGCGCAAAGGAAAGCTTGATTTAAGTAGGTAAGTTACTCTTTTGATGCTACTCCAATAAAACTTATATGTTTACATTGCGTTTTAAGCTATCTCCAGACTTCATTATTGTAAAAATAAAAATAAAATTTCCATATGCACCACATGAGTCTTATGTATTTACAGATCTCACACCTAAATTTTCAATTTACATACATAGAACTTTGATAAGCCTATGCATGAAAAGGTTTATTTCAATTTTTAAAGGTGGTAATAGTGTTATTTTTGATGTGATATTAAAAATTTGTGTTATGTGTTTAAATATGAAAATTTAAAAGTTTTGGTGTTAGATATGTAAATAAATAAGAATTGTGTGCTACATAAGTAAATGCCCAAAAAAGAAGGATCAAATGGATTCAACAAAAACACATGTACACAGCCAAAATCACTGATGAGTCTTTAGTAGTTTGTTATATTAGTGGCATCAATGCCAGAAGTTGAAGGGAATCAAGACAAAGAATATAGAAAATAGTTTTAAGTAGTTTGAATTAATATTTTGTGTACAATCCCATCTGCATTTGAGTAAATCTATGGAGAGTAAAATTAAAAGTTTTGCACCTCTAAAGATAGAAATGCTAGTCACATGTAACTTTTCTGTCAATTGTGAGCTAATCCCTGAAGAACATAATCTAAACCATTGGTGATAAAAATATTTCTCAATCTTGTGTATTGGTATAGAATTTATGAACTTTTTTTGTTCAGTCTTGAGTGCATTAGTTTTAGGTTATATTCTTTATGGAGTTAGCGAGCTTCTTAGTTATATATATATATTCTTCATCATTTTATTTATGGGAAGTTTGCATACAAACAACACAATTCTTATGTATTAATATATGTAGCACTTAAAGTTTGATATTTATATGTATAATATTTTTGTGTTATAAACCTACAAATGAAAAAGTGTTTCCCACTTTTAAAAAGTTAGTAATAGTAGTATTTTTGATGTGATGCTAAAGTTGAAGAAATGTGTGGTATATATATAAATGCCATAATTTATTTATTTATTATGCTTGATTATAGGTCGGTCTGGAAGAGCTGGGAGATGTGGTGAGGCTATAACATTGTTTACTGAAGAGGATAAACCATTCCTAAGGAACATAGCTAATGTGATGAAAGAGTCAGGCTGTGAGTTTCCAGATTGGATCCTAAGCTTGCCCAAGCTCAAGAGGAAGAAGCACAGACCAATGAGAAATTCTGTAGGAGCCGAACCTGTTGACACTGAAGATCATTAAGCTGTCTCCTCAATTTCTTTCTGATGTAGTCAGCATTTTAAGTTACATGTAACAATTATAATTTTCCTGGATTCATTAATTGAATCATTTCTCAAATGAAAGTGTCATCTTTTTGGGTGATAAGAAGACATTTGAACTAACAGCTAACTTTTCAAGATAATCCTTTGTAGCATCTGCCAGTGCCAAGCAAGAAGAAAAAAAACATGAGAATACTCTGCCAAAAAAATAATTGTAGTAGTCAGATTATGTATTAGTCAATTCTATGGCATAATTTAGTTATTTGCTTTCCATACAAACCATGTTTCGTTGTTCAAGATGGATCTTCTTCATCCAAGTATCCTATAGTCTTTGCTGGGTTGCCTACAGCCATGCCTCAGGCAAATATAAAAAAGGAAATGTACTAACTATTAGGGAAGTAAAATGAAATATAAATGATATTATTTTTATGTATTAAATGCAATTAACCCTATGAAAATAAAAAAAACACAAGTGGGCGGATGATAAAAATTGCCTGCATGGAGAATTTGTTTGTGGTTGAAGCCCCTCAATGCGCGACCAAACCTTCAAGACCACTGAAAATCCACCAGTGATGAGGGCTTGTTGCCTTTTGACTGTGGATACCAGTCTAGAGATGGATCTAGCATGCCAAACTGCTTGCTGCCCTCCTTCCATAAACTCGTGGCATTCCCAGGGATAGGCTCCCAGTTAGGGGCCTACTTGATTCTGGGATGTGCTTCCTCTTCTGACTCTTGGTAGCCAACTTTTCGATCGTCGCCTTCACTCGGTCCTCCTTTACAATGTCCGAATTATGTCATTGCTCCTCCGTCATTTTACTTGCCAGCACACGGGTAACTGTCACCTCAGCAGTATATTGAAGAACCGAGAGACTACAAACACACAACATCTCATAGGCAATGATCATACTCTCTGGAAGAGACATTGGCTTAGACACCTTTCACCCCGACGGCTTGGTTCGGATTCCCCAGGCGCCAAAGCAAGAAACGGCCAGAAATTTCTTCCTATCCTTTATCTTATTTTCCACTCTTACAAAGTGGAATTCATTTCCCACTGCGAATATAGCGCAACCCTCTCTGTCAACCTCCAACGAGAAGAAGTATCTAAAGAATTTGGTTTAACGCACAAAATTCTTCCACCGATAAAAAAATATGAAAGTCATGGTTGCTACTATGGAATTTGGCATCCACTTGCATCGGATAGGTGTTGAAGATACTTCGAAGCTTTTGACACAAGAGAAACCAGAGGCTATATTTGAACTAGTCTCGGTAGAAGACCAGGTCTCCCAGAGGATTCGTCGCTCGCGCCGATATGGGCAACTTTTGAAGACATATGCTCTCGTCAAGAAAATACCTTTGTTAAACCTTCCTCACTTTGTTCTCTATAGAAAATGAATGGTCAGTGTCCTTCACAGAGTCGAATAAGAGAGGTGAGTATTTAGGGGACATCTCGAGAGACAAGAGCAGAACCAATAGAAGGACGAGAGGAGAAGAGAAAGGTGACGAAAAAAGAAAGAAATAAAAGCCGTAAAATAAAAAGAAGCAGCTCCTTCTCCTATTTATAAGGTGGGCGTGTCAGATGAAGGTCGCATAATGATAAATATAACACCAAATGTATTTTTAAAAATTCATTAAAATATCATTTTATTGTGAATAATATTATTACAGGTCTTGAACGAAATGTTTTATAAAGTGGTTCTCCAAAGCCTCGGAGGGGAAATGCCCCTAAACTTCTGGAGAATCATCTCTCCACCTAACCTAATATAGTCCACCATATTGGCTTCCTAGATCAGACGTCTCATAGAGTGCCACAAACTCACATAACACCTTGTTTAGCCCGCTTCGAAGAGCGACAAGCTCCGTCTGCAGAATCACCACTTCAATATCCAGGTGAGCAGACAACTCCTACACATGATCTGCATTTGAACCCCTAACAAGTCCCTAAAAAAAACTGATCGGCCCCGCTAATAGTTCGATCTCGCTTGCTCGCTGCTCTATGATCTCTGGGAATTGTGCCCGCTTTTGCGGTCCCCCAGCCATATATCTATTAAAGACAAAGGGTCGAGCAGTTGATAAATTATCGGAGTCGGCAACGGCAAGAACCCCGCATCTCCAACCTACATAACAAGCATTGTAGTAAGGCATAATCCAAAGCATTCTTTGACAACCCACCATCTAGGTGCTCCTTCAACTTGGCCCAAGTATCCATAAATCTCTCTATGGAGGAGATCTAGGCGACTAATCTTTTGAATCATCAAATGAGTCGACTACTTTGACCAGGTCAAATTTGAGCCTCGCTCATTTTTCCTTCATCAGCACCTTCTATTTATACAGAAAAGGGAGTCTGAAACCCTCCCCTCGCGAGCCTCTCAGGATCCACAATGATCAGGTTTAATTTGTCAGCTATCACGCACCTAAGTTGTGACAAGAAAAATTGATGACAAATGATACAAAGCTCAGTTCATATTTATTTATAGAGCACATAGGACACAAAATTCTAAGTGAAGTCATGTGATCAATCAATTCACAAATTTATTGCTAATGATTGTTGTATAATTTTCTTGTCCTTATTGTAGTTGTTGCTATCAAGGAGCAGAAAAAATCAGAGAACTAATATGTATATACCAAAAGTACTAACACAAATCTCAAAGAGAACGAACAATCAAGATGAAAGGGACTCTTTTCGAGGTATGCAATCAACTGAAGATTCAAGGCCGAGTATGAAGCCGAGTCTCCATACCCAAAATAGTTGCAACCTTCGTAGATGGTTTCCCACTCAGTAGCGGCAAGACCCGCCGCCGAAAGTGATGCATGAATCATCCCGACAGCGAGTTTCGTCGGATACCTCACGTGGGCTGCGATAAGATACGCTTAATACCTTGCAAGATTGGGAGATCCGGCCGAGACGAGAATCAGCAAGACAGGTGAGACACAAGCTCTGTAAGACTCGAGCTGAACAGAAAATGAGCCATGACTCTTTATAAAAAAAATTGGTCGATCACATTCGACTAACCAACTCTGCGTACGGACTGAACATTCACATCACAACCGACCGCTCTGTTCGACCATGCCAAAAGACACAGAGCAAGATCTTCATACGGTCGAACACCTCAACCAACCAATTCATACTTCAGAAGGCACATATGTCATTTGGTTGGTCGTCTCAGTTAGTTGTCTTTAACCCAGTAGACCAACCAATTACCGCCAATATTGAAATTTAAATTGTAATACAAATATAGTATAAAATATATACAATCAATTAGAGCCTTAAAAAATACAAATAAAGGAACCTTTTCTCTTGATTCTCCCTACAAAGTTCCCAGACCTATTATACTTTCTCTTCATTCTTTCTTTCACTCTACCCTAACTCTCGGTGCGTGATTCACAAAGAATAAACTAAGATCCAACATACATATATGAATACTCAATCATTTCACTACATGATGGCATATAATTTTAGTATATACACATATATACATATAATTATACTTATATATAGTTGGTTTACTATGACACCTTGAAATAAGGAAATGTAAGCACCAATTATGAAAATCGAATGATTTCTCTAAGGGACCCGTCAGCCTAACCATACAAAATGGTTTTAATTCTGTCTTAATAATATTAGTTATATCTCATGTATCACAATCACAATAAAGAATATAAATGTAATATGTCTGCCACTAATTAAAAATAATTATGAAAACTAAAGTAATAAAATGTATCACATCAAATATTCAAAAAAAGGTTTAAATATTGAAACCAAGAAATGCGAACAATTAAACATAAGGCTAAGCAAAAATAAAATAATGCTAACTATTCATTAAAATCATAATGAGCAAAAAAATGAAGACTATTGTTATTATGTGAACAAGATTTGAAAGGTACGAATCACAACCCTAAAATTAGCTAGATATTTAGTACAATTTGCATGGATAATACATCTTACTAGAAATGATATGTTTATCTCATAATAAAGAGAAGTTACTTAACTCAAGACGGTAAACATGATACTTCTATGAATTTGACGGTAAAATTAATTATACAGTTATAATTTCTGTATAACCCAATTGAAATTTATAAATGTGATTATTATCATTACTATAATTATTGTTATTACTTTATTATTATTATTATTATTATTATATTTTTAAATGAGATAAATTATGAACTTTGACGGACTAACATACTTAAAATAATAATATTCTTTTATTATTATTATTAATTAATATTATTTTAATTTATTATTTAAAATAATAAATTATGAACTTTAATCCATTTGTTTCTTAAATCCAATTTATCATATGTTTATCTTAAACCTCGGATTAGTAAATCTCGTTGGGGGATGAACTTACCGGATTAAGGAGGGATGAAGCGCGCGGCAAGGAGAGGGGCGAGGGTTAGCGAATGTATAACATCATGATTAATTTGTTAATTATCTATAGCTTGAGTTTTGGGGCTAAGATTTATGTTATGTCAAGGAAATAATTGAAGATGATCATCAACATGATGTAAGCATGAGATATCATTAAGTGGGGGTAATTACATGTCATTTATCTCAAGCATTTGATATTTATAAATTAATCATCTAGATAATTTTTTTTGAATTACCGAACCGATGTAATTGCGCGTGCATTAGAAAATTTTTGAGAAAGTAAAAATGAAAATTGTGTTGGATTTTTATCATGAATTTTGATGTTTGATTGACTTCAAAAATTGAAAGGTTTTGCTGTGTACGGACTCCGATCAAATCTTGTCACGTGTATCTGATTGAGACCACCTAAAAAATGATGAAAAGATGTTTATTGTTGCGTTATTGCAAATACTATAATAACATAACAATACCATTGATACCGTGGTTTCGCTTCAATAACCTCGCAAAACAACTCGAATAACA